ACATGCAGTAACATGACCCTTGCGCTTTGATGACTGAATACAATCTTGAGTGCAAAGAATTTCTTACTACAAAGTTACCTATGTTTTTCTATACCAAATGGGCTCTAACCACACCTTTGTGAAGGAGACCAACTGGCTTTAATGAGGCATTTACCTATGGAACAACCCGAAGGGTGACCCGGGGTATTAATTTAAGAAAATTACTTGGTGGATTCTCACCAAGTCTTTTGCATTTGGTCTTGGAATAGTCTTAGATGCTCTAAACAATTGGAGTAAGCCAGTGATTGGTCTTTTATCTATTTTAGTCAACTGGATGGGTGAGTCCGATACCTACCTTCCAAGATGGTTATGATGTGAACGCCAGTTATAATTTGGATTTCTTAACTGTGGAGGAAGCCAGTTCTGGAGCATAGCTAATAGATGCTGAAGATAAGAGTTAAGGTACTAGAGGGGTTACTGGGACAAAATGCTGGAGGATTTATTCTCCTCTTTCAGGATAGGATTTTCTTTTACAGGCCAGTATTTCTTAGGGATTGCAACTACTTATGAGAGACCTGTCTTGCAAAGTTGCTGTAAACTATAAGCCAGCTACTTGCTTCATGGTGATAACACTGCGCCAACTTGGGTAGTATAATAAAATGGATGTTCATGCCTAGTTAAGTGCCTTTATGTTCCTTGTCTTCTCTTGATTTTAAGATAGCTCCTCTTCTCTTGATTTTAAGATAGCTCCTTACGTATTGCCTCTCTCTATGAACTCTCTCTCTCATATAGTTGCTAACTCAGTCTCTTGCTGGATCTTATGTGGTGTTCACAGTTATTTGACCAATCAGGTGAATGATGAAAATATTGGCTTATAATATAGTCCCCCTTGTACCACTTTCTTCTGGTATTAGAAGTACCATTGGTAAACCAATCTGATTCCTCCAAGCCGTTGAATGGCTTCTGTAGAGAGCAATATTCTTGCATAGCTCCTTTTGATATGTATTCTCCTTTTATAGGGATATGTTCCCCTTTTTTGACATTAATATCTTATGTGTAATTATACTAATTTTTTAAGAAGTACAACAATAGTGTACTATAGAGTGTCTATTTGTTAAACTCATTTGTTTCTACTTTTTTATTAGAAGGCTAGAAGTAGCAATAGTTGTGATCTAGCATTACTGCATTCATAATTTCTTGTTTTCCATCTTCTTGCCTATTTCCCAGCTACACTTCCACAGTTGCTTTTTAATCTACGCCCCTCAAGCCTCAGAATTCTCTGGTTTCTTCCACGTCAGTGCTGCAACTGATTTACTATTGCAGCATGTTTCTGCAGCCCAAAAGTTCCTCCAATATTCAGAGTGATGTTTGCTTCCGCACCTGCCATATATTGTTTTAGATTTTTGTATTTCTTATTTTCATTTGTTTCCACCCCTTGGATATCCTTTTAACCAATTTTGAATTGTGACCACCTCGTGTAGGTGAGGCTTGAATTTAGAAACTTTGCCTGTTCATCATAAGAGTGTGGCCGCTTCATATAAAAGTTTAAGCTTTTAGAGAAGGGACAGATTATTTGTTTATATTAGGTCAGCAACACTCAGGTTGGACCTCTCAAAGCTAATCTTTTGCTTTGGTAAAAGGTCCTACTTTACTGTCGGTGAACGAGGTTAGATTTGTTACACTGACTAGTAGGACCAATCCTCGTACATTATGTTGGCCGTCTTCTGGGGGTAGTATTCAACAAGAAACCAGTGTCGTCAAAGGCGTGCTTAAGCCCTAAAGCGAGGCTCAAAACGTGTTGAGCGTTTCGCCTTGTTTAGCGGGCGCTTCAGTGTTGTCATCAAGGCTCTAAGGCATACTTTTCCTTGCCAACGAGCGTATCTGAAGAGGCAAACCTAAACAATTAATATTTCACTTTATTGTGAAAAAAATCAATTTCTTTATCCATATATTTGTTATTCATGCTTATAATTATTAGTCTAGGACTATTTTTTTTCCATTTGAGCTTTTCTCCATTAAAGCCCATGCTTTATTTGCCCTTTGCACTTAAAGCCCCAATGTACCTCAGAGCTTTTCTTGCGCTTTAAGCCTTTGATAACACTGCAAGCAACAACTACTATGCCTCCAATTGGGTAAACAAGGAATGTAGCATGAGGACTTGCGAGGGAGTCACCCATCCTAGTACTACTCTCGCCTAAGTATGTTTGGTTTTGATGGGATCAAGTGCGTTAGTGGTGGTATGGTCGTATCCACGTTTGCTCGAAATAGAAGAATATCACTACTAATAGTTAGTATGCCCTCCATCTGATTATGTTCTCATGAGTAGAACTAAGGTCCTTGAGCTTGAACTCAAAATGATCTCCTCTTCAACTGAAGTTTGAAATATATGGAAGCTTAGATCGGACAAAGACTATGAAGTATCCATCCCTTTTTTTTATCTCTTTGTTCTGGTTTGGTCTATATCTTGTGACCTGAACATTACACTGTCCAATTTCAAACAACTAATTATATACCAAACCTGCATCCTATCTCCAGACCAGCTAAGTTCAGAAATCACAGTTGTTAACTTTTAATGGCTTATAACCAACAGTAATATCACGGGTAGTAATGAAAGCATGAAATGAAGCGTGCTTGTGATCTGGGAACTTTGAAATAAAAAAGGAAAATCACTGACAAAAAGGACCTTGCAATTTGATATGCTGACATTAAAATTCTTAAACGGTTCATAAGAAGGCTAAATGGAAAAAGAGTAGTTTTTGGGAAGATTTGAAAAAGGTAAAATGGCAATGCAGAAAAAGAGGTCTGCTCTGGAAGTTGGTGAAAAGATAATCTGATATTTTATGACATGAATTCTTGCAAATTTTCCTCATAATTTTTCTCATATCTTCCGCTGTTGCAGAGACGGTAACATTCCAGTTTCTTTCATCCAAAAATACCTGGTGAGGAAGTTGGATCTTAAGAGCGAAGACGAGGTAATTGGCTTGATTTTAGTTATTTATAAATCAATGAACAACACATGCATTTATTCACATTATACATCTTCCTTGGTGATGTTCAATTGAAGTTAGTGGGGAACATGATTTTCTATAATATTAATTGCCATTGGGTGCAATGTTCATTCGGTCTGGTTTTGAACGGGTTGAACTCAACTTTGGCTCAGGTAACTGTCTATGTTACGTGAGTGCAATATGAGGAATTATAATGTGTAATGCTCAATGTTAACTGTAATATGTTCCTTTCTGGTTACCAAGAAGATGACCCGTAAGTGACAAGTATGGTTGCCCCTAAGTATGACAGAGGGAGAGTTCTTGCAATAAACTTGACTGAAGAAAACATACATGATTTAATTGTTTTACTTTTTGTTGTGCTGACTCGAGTTTATTTGTAGGTTGAGATTAGATGTATGGGACAATCAATAGCCCCCAGTTTACCACTTAACAGTTTGGTTGATATGTGGCTTCAAACTACTACATCCGAAAGAATACCAGCAATTATTGGTTCATCAGCAAAGGACTTTGTGATGGTGTTGGCTTATGCTCGAAAGATTCCAGGCGTTCCAGCTTCTTGAGTTATTATCACTGCATTCATGTACTTGATAAACTATATTAGAGCTAGTGTTATGTTGAAGTACCAGGCGGAATTGCTAGGCCCCTGTGCCTCGAGTGGCATATGATAAGTGTAGACTTGTAAGTTGTATTTAATTGCTGCAACTAGAATTGGTGCAGATCGGCGGGAATCAAGCAACAGGGTAAGAAAAAAGATGAGATTTCACATGGGACCCTGAACGAGTTCGGCTATTCGTGCTCTAACTGAGAAGATACCATGCTCTCAAGTTCACTATTTTTCTGCAATGTGTTGTATGCTTGTAGTGTACACTACCTTGTAGTTATACTGCGTGAATTTTGATAGTGTTTTTTCATTATGTCTTTCAAACCTCCAGCCATCATAATACACAATTATTTATATTTCAAAGATACTAGTATTTCATCATCAGCCTCCAGAATGATGAATTACATTGCTGTATTCTGATTGCCATTCTGAGATTAGAATTCATGTGCATATTTAATCTGCTGCTATTCTGGAGATGTTCGCACCTGTGTTTTAAAAGGTGTGGGCTTAAGGTGGGGCGTTTTACATATGCCTCAACAAGGCGTAAGCCCGGAGGCACGGGGTGTAAGCCCCATAAGTATTTAATCTATAATGTTTTATAAAATAATATAATTACAGTAAATATTTATAAACAGGTAAAATTGCATAAATATTGAAGAAAACTATATATATATATATATATATATATATATAGTGCTCTATCCCCACTAGAAAAGTAGTCAAAGCAATCTATAATATGCTACTTAGAAGAACAAGTAACTTGAGTTGAAAAGAATAAAATTTTCTACACGGAGGAACAAAAAAGATGACTAACCTGCAATTTGAAGTTTGAACTTGCTACTATGAAGGAGAATGAAGTTCTCTTTGTATTTGTAAAAAAATAATTGAATACCATGAATTAGGGTTTCAATCAATAAAAAAGGTCTTAGACTTTTAAATTTAATACATTTCAGTTGCTTTTTAAAACTTTTGAGCAATTACCAAGCTGACTTTTGAGAATTTGAGTATTATTTTGGAGGACTTATTCAACAAATTTTGTTTTAATTTGAAAAAGTCTCAGAGACTTACGCCTCACTTAAAAAACGCGCCTCAAACACTAGTTCGCACTATCTTCATCCAAATTATTAAACTTCCTTATATATGAAGATGATTTAACTTATAGCTGGAATGACTGTGGATAGACAGCATTCGTTTCCCAGATGTTTGAACTGTTTGAACAATTAACGATCGGCAAAACATTGTCAAGCTATGTTGAATTAAACTTGAATAGAACAGGATGGAATACAGAGCATCATATAACCGATCCTAACAATTTAAAATGTAGATGTTGTTGATTCATTAATCAAATATATCAGCATGATAAGTGCAACAATAATCCAGTAAAGCTCAGTTAACTAGTGAAACAGATCCAATCACAAATCATAGAAATTCCATGCAGCATTTGATCACTAACTCGAGTACCATTGCTTAAATTGAGTACTCTTTATATACAATGACAGCACAAAACTAGACATACTCCAAATAATCCGTGTCTCAATTCTCAATTCAATTGCCGGAAAAAATGTAAACAACAGCCATTCACGACCATACAATAAACCCAGAAAAATTACACTCTTAATGCCATAAACCTCATTGCATTCTAATTCGACCTTGTATATATTGCATATAATGAACATTTTATTCAAATTGTTGAATTAATTGCTTCAACAAGAGGCCATTGACTGCAATAACATTTTGCTCCGTGTTAGCTTCTTCATATCATGACGAGCTACCAACAAAAGAAAGCAATCCACCATCAGCAGCATCATCCTCTTCTAGAAACAAATCCTCCGTAATTCTAAACGAACAATGCAAAAATACTAACACCATTCCCACCACGATCGAGACCAACACATTCAACCAGACACGTGTCAGCACCAAACTCACCACTGTAATAACGCTTAGAACAACCAGAACGATCCTATCATCAACCATACGGTTAAAAATCATCAACGGTTCGTCGCGATGGAAGTAGAGGAAAAACCAAGCAACGAACACGACTAAGAAGACGATCATTGAAATTGGATGCCATAAGAGGCTTAAGAAGAGTATGAGTAGCACAATGATGGCGTAGTTGACCCGAAAGTAACCGAGGTTTCGCTTGACACGAGATGTGAAATCGGCGAGGGAAATGGGCCGGGTATATGAAGACGGGTGGGCCAATAGTTCTCTCCATGGACGACGCCGAGCGTAGAAGGAAAGTGTGCCGGATCTGGCCCGATTGAAGGAGAAGTCATAAGCCGCACGCATGATTGAATCGGATTGTAATTTGGGGTTTCAAATGGTGAATCTTCTCGAATAAGCGAGTTGAAACCCTAGAAGGGGATCGAATGGGAGTGAATCCGCGCCTAAATAATTGGTCCTTATATTAAGGGTGTGTTTGGTACAAGCAAAAAATTTTCCATGGAAAATATTTTCCTAGAAGATATTTTCATGGAAAATGAGTGGTTTTATAACTTATTTTTCCTTGTTTGGTTGGTGAATGGAAAAAATCTTCCAAAAAATACTTTTTAGAAAAATATTTGCTTATGCTACTCTCCTCACTCATCCCCTTTCCCAAGTCCCTATATTTCATGTGCTCCCCCTCCCCCCCTTCCTCCAAATACCCAACGTTTTTAGAACTCTATTTTTCTTCAAAAATTTAATTATTCTTCTAAAAATTCATACAAACCCAAAGGCACTAATGTGTTGCATTACTTTTTTACGCAAAAATAACATTGAAATTTGTGCTCCACAACTAAAAAGAAAATACTCTTGTTTGGTTCAAAAAGAAGTACTCTTTCTACAACATGAAAATAAGTACGTATTTTGTTGAAATGAAAAATATATTTTTTCTGCATCATGAAAAGAAAATACTCATTGAAATGTAAGAAAATATTTTTTCTACATCATGGAAAAAAACTTTTATTGTTGAAATGAAAGAAAATACTTTTTACTACATCATTTTGTTAAAATGAAAGAAAATACCTTTTTACATCACAAAAAAAGACTACTGATTTTGGTTAAAATGAAGAAAAAAAAACCTTTTTATATCATAAAAAGAAAAATACCCATTTGTTGAAATTAAAAAGAAGTACTATATCTATAACATAAAAAGAAAGTACCATTAATAATATTGCTATTTAGGGTGAGGGGTTGGGGGCAGGGGGTGGGTGGATGGGTGGGTGTAGGGTAGGGTTGTGCATAATTTGATAAATACCGAATTACCGTACCATAACCGAAAATTTTGGTATTTGGTATTCGATATGGTATTTGGTTTACTTTTAAAAATAATTGGTATTAGGTATGGTATTTTGTATTTTAAAATGAAATACCGATACCGTACCGAAATAGATATTATATTGCACAATACACATATTATTAATTATAACATAATATAAAAAATCTAAAATTTTTACTTTTCTTTATACTCTAAGTTCATCAATTAACTCTAAGTAAGTAACAAGACATTTCTAATGATCAAATTTATTCCTTTATATACAGTTTTTTATCTCTGGGTTGATATTTGCTGGTTTTGGACAAAACTTTTATCAACAAGCGTATTTTGTTTTGTACTTTTGAGTACTTTAATTAAGAATATTACAGTCTATGACTCTACACACTAGTTAGTATTCAAACCGAATAAATCGAAGTTACCGAACCGAATAAACCGAAACCGAAAGGAGAAAAACTGAACCATACCGAATTTAATTAGGTATGGTATTGGTATAGCATTTTAAGAAACCGAATACCAAAAATACCAAACCGAAATGTCTAATTACCGTACCGTACCGACCGACGAACACCCCTAGTGTGGGGTAGGGGTGGGGGTGGGGATGGATTGGTGGGGATGAGAAATAGGGTAGGGAAGATTAAAAAGGAGTTTTGGAAAATGTTTTCCTTATCTTGATAGGGAAAATGTTTTCCTCCAATTGGAGGAAAATGAGTTCATGAGAAAATATTTTTCAAAACATTTAAGCCAACCAAACATGGAAAAATTAGAAAACATCGAACCAAACACACCCTAAAAGATAATTGCACTTTTTAGTCCATCTGGAAAATTTTCACTGTAATTTTGTGCTTCAACATAAGAGGAATAGAGAAATTCGTGATTGGTATATAGTTCAACGAGGGTAGTCTTCTTTGCTAAGCTTTTTTTCTTTCTGTTCTTTTTAATTCAATAGTGTAAATTCACTTCCACTTTACAAAATTTACAAGGGTAAAGGGTCAAAAATACGCTTTTACTATGAGAAAAAGATAAAAAAAAAAATTATTTTGTGCTTCATACAACTCACATTAGTTGTATGAGGCATCTTTTTTGTCTCACAATTTTATGGACCAAAATTTTGTGAACTCAAATGTGTAAGAATGTGTCTACAAATTTATGAGACAAAAGGGGTCTCACACAACTAATGCTAGTTGTGTGAGGCACACAATAAAACTTCTTATATCCTCTGTCATACTTTCGATCCACTATTATCCTCGATGTTACAAAACTAATGCAAAAATACCCTATCTGTTAGGCCCTCTAATGTGACCAACGCATCCTACGTGGCCTGACATTTCGCAAAAAAGGAGAAGTGCACCAATAGCGCCTTTTAAGCCCGCTATTTAAAATATATCTATAATTTATAATATATTTAAAGATTAGCCAATTCACACAAACTTCAAGACCAATAGCTTGTTTGGCCAAGCTTCTCCAATCTTAGAAGCACTGTGCTTTTTTTTCAAAGTTAAAGTGTTTGGCCAAGCTTTTGGAAGAAAAAAAAAGTACTTTTGAGGAGAAGCAGAAGCAATTTTGGAAGAAGCAGAAAAAAAAAATAGTTTCTCTCCAAAAATACTTTTTTTGAAAAGCATTTTTGTGAAAAATACACTTAGAAATTATTTTTAAAAGCTTGGCCAAACATTAATAGGTGCTCAGAAGTGCTTTTCGAATTAATTAGTCAAACACAAACTGCTTCTCACTAAAAGTACTTTTGAGAAAAACACTTATGAGAAAAAGCACCTCTCAATTAGAAATGGCAAACGGTGCGTGGCGGTGCGGGTGAGGGGCCGGTTCTACCTTAACTCGTAAAATCCAACCCGCCCGCCCCGCCCCGCATTGCATTTTCACCCGCGTTACCCGCCCCGCAAAATTTTCCTCTTCTTTTTTTTTCTTTTCCAATTTGTCTTATTTTTATTTTTGTCTTTTTAATTATGTTTATATATGTCATTGCTAATGTAAAAGTTTCTATCAGAATCCAGTGGCAAACCAAGTCATATTTTGAATACGCATAACTAGGGAATAACTATAAACCCTACAGAATGCTATTAGTATATCATTCTAATATACAATTCAGAGTGTACAATGTAATGAGATCATATACCTGAACTTAGCTTAAAACAAATTAACTATATAGTTAAAAGTGAGACGTTGGAGCAGTAAATAAAATATAAAACAAGCAGCTCTTCTTCCCAGTGATGCAATTAGCAGAAGCATTCATATTTACAATAAACTGAATAGACGTCTACTTTGAATCAATTTTAAAAACTAAATCAATTTGAGACTACAATGATCCAATTCGTAGGAGAACGGAATTATAAGTTCAAAACTGGAAAAAAAATATCTCTTGGTTGAATATTAGTGGTCGATAGCTGAAAAGTTGTACTTATTCAAAAAATTTAAATCTTAACCCGCACCGCACCCGCAAAAAATTGAATTTGTTTTTATGTTGCCCCGCCCGCACCCGCATATGTATAAACCCGCACCGCCCCGTATATGTATAAACCTGCACCGCCCCGCACCCGCACCCGCACCCGCACCGCCCCATTGCCATCCCTATTCTCAATATAAGCTAATTTTTGCAGCTTGGTCAAACGGGCTATAAATATCCTGAATTTGGAAATTCAGGACTTAGTGTCCTGAATTTTTAAGCTGCTAATACGAAATTCAGGACTCTTAGTCCTAGATTTCTGAACTACTAATTTAAAATTCAGGACATATGATTCGAACTTTTGTACACAATTTTTGAACTTTAGGCTACAATGTCCTGAAGTTGGAACTTTGAGGTTTAAACTCTAGGACGTCGTGTCCTGAAGTTTGAGCGAAATTGGCTAATCTTTAAATACATTATAAACTGTGGATATATTTTAAACAGCATGCTTAAAAGTGACTACCTGAGATGTGTTTGGTATGAAGGAAAATATTTTTTCGGAAAATATTTTTCAATTTTCTCATGTTTGGTTGGCTTAAATGTTTTAGAAAATATTTTCTTCATGAACTCATTTTCCTCTAATTGGAGGAAAATATTTTCCTTGTCAAAAGAAGGGAAAATATTTTCCAAAACTCTTTCTAAACCTTCCCTACCATATTCCCCATTCCCTCCAACCCACCCCCACCTACCCACCCTACCCTACTCCCACCCCAACCCCTACCTTTAATAAAAATATTATTAATAGTACTTTCTTTTCATGTTATAGATAGTTTTTTTTCATTTCAACAAATGAGTATTTTCTTTTCATAATATAAAAAAGTATTTTTATTTTCATTTTAACAAAAAAAAAGTACTTTATTTTCATGTTGTAAAAAGTTTACTTTCTTTTTCAACCAAAAAAGAGTATTTTCTTTTTAGTTATGGAGCATAAATTTCAACGTTGTTTTGCGTAAAAAAGAGTAAAGCAGCACACTAGTTCCTTTGGGTTTGTGTGAACTTTTAGAAGAATAAAATAGAGTCCTGAAAACATTGGGTATTTGGGGTGGGGGTGGTGAGTAGGGAGGGAGCAAGGAAATATGATGACCCGATAGGTCATCTAGAGTTTTAGAATCTAATTCTGTAATTCGAAGCCTCAAATATCTTATTTTAACCATTCTCGATTTGTGTGCGCAGTCTGGGTGTTTTTCAGGAAAGTTTTTATGTAAAAAATTGATAAATATGAAAAAATTTCCTTAAAATTTATTTGAGTTGACTTCGGTAAACGTTTTGAGCAAACGCACCCGGATCCGTATTTTGAAAGTCCCGGTAGATACATATCGTGTTTTGATACTTGGGCGTATGCCCGGAATCGAATTCGGAGGTCCGTAACTCGAGTTATCGCTTTTTGTTGAAATTTGAAAGTATAAAGGCTTAATGACTTTGAAAGTTTGACCTATATTTGACTTTATTGATATCGGGTCCGTATTTTGGTTTCGAAACCCAGTATAGGTCCATTACTATATTTATGACTTGTTTGTCAAATTTGGTGAGAAACAAAATTGGTTTGACGTGATTCGGACGTCCGGTTGTTAAAATAGAAGTTCATGAGTTTCCTTGAAAATTTTCTATGATTTGGTGCTCAATTCGTAGTTCTAGGTGTTATTTTGGCGAATTGATCACGTGAGCAAGTTCGTA